GACAGACTTGTTCCCCCGTCTAAATGCAGTCAGGTTGAACGTTGATTTACCTTCTTTAAGTCTATAGCAATTTTGTCACAAGCATCCTCTCTCTCAATCACAAAACAGGTCTATCTTATACTTTCTTTAACAAAATGTAAATTTATTGAATTTGATAAATAAGACAAAGAAAGCATCCTCGATTCTCTCTTGACTGGAGCAAGTACAGGTATAGTCTGTTTTATAGCTTCTGATTGGCTTAAGGCCCAGATGTCTATATGACACGCACTCTATGGGTTTACCTGTTATCTTTACCAGGGTGGGTCTGGGCTATTTCCACTCGAAAGCGTTTAGCAAACAACATGAATGCGTTCATTGGCCTCTTGGTAAACTGATGTGTGTCGTTTCTTTTCACTGGGCTTGAATGACAATGAGACTCTGAGAGAAGCTTGGTTCGGCGGTGGCTGTGTTCTTCTTTATCCTGTCATTAACATAAAACGTTTTCTAAGCTTGAAAGAAACTTTCTTGTTGTGAAGGATTACGTTTTCTTTATTTGAATGATTTTTTGTTTCAATGTGGCAGCATCTCGCGATAACTTTGAGTTCAGAAAATTTGGCTTCTTTAGCTGAACATAGAATTATTTTTTCTGCAAAACCATGAAATTGGGTCATTTCACGCTTCCTTAAAGACTGCCGAAGACCAGTGGGGAAAGACAGTGCTGCAAGATTTATAGTGCACGTGCAAGGGCATTGAATAGTAACCTGGAGTAACGTAGCGTAGCGTAACGTAACGTAACGCAACAATTGAAATTAGAGTTGCTTATCCCCATTTGGAACTATGACAAGTAATTTCAACCCTAATTAAATCTTTTTTAGAGCTTTCCCTCAAACTGGCTCTCCTCTGGCTCCAAACCGGACAGCTTATAAAGGGCTGCACACGTCCAAATTCCCTTATCCAGTTGTGAAATTCGTTAGAACATACCTTAGCCATGGTGCTAAGTGTAAGTGCCGCTGCTGAATCCATAGCAGTGAATTCAGACCTAGAAAATACAATAAAATTAAAAAAGGTGCATGTACAAACAAAATGTGCCACAAGGGAGAAAGATCAAAGATTAAGAGAGAGGTTTAGAGCCAAAATTCCGAGTGGACTTACGATTTTTTGTCGCCTACACATTGCGTTCGGTAAAAAATTCCAAGAACATCTGAGTCACATGGCAACACACAAACGTCACCCCTTTGTAATACCTGACAGCTTATCCCATAACGCAATTCAGTGGCAGCAGGATTGAACGAAGCCCAACTTGGCCTGTCTATTCCCCTGACAAAGAATGGATGGTCCGCGGTGATCTCCGCTTGCAGGCTCGTTTGGTCGTTACACGATTTAAAGGAGACGATGGATTCCTCCTAATAAAAAATAAATAAATAACTAAATACATAAACAAACAAAAACACGCGACGCTAACGTCAAATACGTCTTCGAAAAGGAACTGTAAAGTAGTTTTAGACTGTGAACTTGCTCTAAATTTAAACTGATTTGTGTAACTTGATTTATGTACCTTGTTTTATGTACCTTGGTTTATGTACCTTGGTTTACGTACCTTGTTTTATGTACCTTGGTTTATGTACCTTGATTTATGTACCTTGATATATGTACCTTGCTCATCTGAACTAACAAGACGTCATCCACATCCACACCCACCCTCCCCCACCTCTCACCGAAACAGAGAAAATTCCTGATATTTTACATCTTTGAAGTAACTCACCAATGTTAACTATGAGTGAAATAATAGAGGGAAATCACAGTTCATTCACTCAGATGCAAAGCTTCGTTAGGCAAAGGACGTGGGTTCGAAACGTAATGACAAGTAATATTTTTGTTTTGCCTTTCAGCTTAAAACAACGTAGATGATTTTCATATCAAGCATGGTCTTAGCTTCTCTTGTAAGAAAAGCGTGGTAACCAGATACACTAGAATAAACAATCTTAAATCACGTAATTGTGTATTTTAAAAATCAACGTACGCTGTTTTCATTGTGTTTTGCGTTAATTCTCTCATAATCAACCACTTGAAGTCCATCTTGAAACAGATCTGCTAAAATGTCCTCCATGTCTAAATCGCCAACAGTTCTCCAAGTCCAGTTATTTTCATCCGGGAAATTGACTTTGGTTCCCGCCATAAAACAGCGCCACTTCTCAACTGGCACGTCTTGTGATAGCGCTGTTTGTGTTGGAGCTTCTGAACTGGTTTCTAAAACCCGTTGCCAGTTGCTCGTCTGAAAATCCTGTTCAAAGAAAGACCTAAGTGTTAACCATAACTACGTAACTTCTAGCTGCGGGGATCAGTTATTTTCCTACCAACCACCGAGATAGGCCTGTATACGAAGTGACAATTTGGTTTTTAATCAAGCAACACCGATACGTGGCATGTCAAAATGTATTCTGATCACCGAAGATCAGCCGAAGATTTCCGAATGTTATCGAGCATCAACCGAAGATTATTCAAATCAGTTCCAAATATTTCTGAACGCTTTAGGAATATTTGCAAAACCTTTGAGAAATGTCCAGCAGGAACCATAATGGGGGACAGAGACCGTAAGTCTTGGGATCCGCGCGCACCTATGATATGGGACAATTTTTCTATTTTTAGAAGAAATTGCGCCATCTGGACGATATATATCCGCGCGAATTCGCGCACATGTCGTGGGTTCTCGGGTGGATGTTGTCACGTTACGTGATCAAATGGTGAGAGTTGCGAGATTCTCTTGACGATTTTTTCACAGCGCTAGCGTGGCAGAGAATAAGGCAGGGAATAAGAACCAGGGCTCTTATATATAGTTTTGTCCCCTGAGCTAACGGAAAGGGTGGGTTTTTCAGGGTCGAAAACAAGACTTCAATTTCGCGCTGTGAATGAATAATAAGATCTGCTCGCTTTAGTGGTAAGCTTTCGCGTATGTTTTTACGTTTCTTCTGACTTAAGAATATAGCAAGAAAACTCTCGACTCTGGTATCGAGATAATTTGTGAGTTTCTCGATGGTTTCTTATTGTTTCTCCTTGTTTGGCGAGTTTGCAAAAGTTTTTGAAAGGCAAGTCTGACGCGTACAAGTAACTCATTTTCATAATGCAGCGCGTACACTTTCAAGTCCGAGGCGGTGTTTTCAATTGCTAACAAATCTTGACAAAGATTTCTTTCGTTATATTTTGTGCTGAGATGCTGCAACAATTTTCACCAACGCCAAAAGACTACCAACATCATGCGTGTTTCTTCAACATCGTGAAATTTTACACTGCGAAGATAAAATAGACAAGGAGTTTTGATATTTCGACCAACAAAATCGAAATCGTTTTTTGAAGTTGATTAAAGAAAGCGTTATCGTAATTTTGCTGATTATTTCTGCTGTATTCAAATATTTTCAGCTAAGCGCTTTTAATGTCCTCAAACATTCATCAACCTTAAACATATTTAAAAACTATACAGATATTGTATAAGTTCGATGAACGTTTTCACACCAAAGTGCGGAACTCCAATTTGTCATGTTTACTGTCACTGACTGTACAAAGAGCCCTCTTATTCATCGATAACGGACATTTTACTGGATTTTTACGCAAACAAAACTGAGTCGGTAGTATCTACAGACGTAAACTTATTGGGCCTTGATGAAACATGAAGCGTTACTTACAATTCAGGCGAAACTCAAACTTGCACTGAATTTTGTTTTACTTTTCGGTCGCGATAGACTCTGGCGAAATCCTTGCAAGCGTCTGGTAAGAGTAGAGAAACCTTTGAAGTTCTAAAACGCCGCTATATTCAAATATATCCAACCAGTTTTTCGCTGTGTTATGGAAAAGCTGTTAATCTCCAACATATGTGAAATTAAGAGTAGAGAAATGTAGAGTTCTTGTAAAAGAAGCAGCGGAACACAACTTGGTCAGTGATATAAAGCGGGACATACCTAAATTCCACACGGTCTTGCTTCACTCAAATTGGAGCAGCTTACGACGAAAATACTCAAGCAAAATTCCAACAGACATAAAGTATTGAGCTGTGGACCAAAAGCATAAAAAATTTCGGGATTCAGGATTTCGGACGCCATTTCCCCCGTGCTACATCCACAAAAATCGTCGCAGCATGTACGTGCGTGTGCCGCAGGCGATGGCGCAATTTGTTCTAAAAATAGAAAAATTGTCCCATATGAAAGGGACAGGCCTAATACTAAAAATGGTACGCGTTTACAGTCTCCGTCCCGACAGGAGATAATAGGCTGATTTAGCAACAGGATGGGAACGTCAGATGACGACTGCAGGGCGCGCGGAATAACCCGGATTCTGTTCTAATTTGACCATATTTGGTACTGCGCGCGCCGTCGTCAAGTGACGTTCCCGTTCTCTTGCTAAATCAGCCTAATGTTTTGTTTTAGAACTGGTACCTCTTAGGGATGAAAATATTTTCAAGCCACACCAACAAAACAGGATTTTGGTCAATCGTAGGGGTTCTTTTCAACATTTCTGTGGAAAATTTGGGAGTTCTCCTCCCCCCACCCCCGATCTCGCCTGCCTAAGCGTGGTCTTCATAAGTAATGAAGGCGAAAAACACGTGCATACCTGAATGTTAAGAAACGCCACTGCAATCATAAGATACAAAACCTTTTGAACTTGATGTCTGTTTCTTCACGGTGATATAACACCCTCTCACGCAAACGTTCTTTGCCATGTAATTAACATGTCACGCGTAACTATCGCGCGAACCTCAAAAGATGTCTGCAGAGTAGGTATAGTTAAATGGACCTTGTACTTACGCTTTATCAAAGCCAAGCCTTAGATGGGTCAAGAGATATCATGTGTAAGTTAAATAAAGGCACACTGCATCGTCTACATTTCAACTAATAGGATTGTCGCCAAAGAAAACAAAGTGAGTGATTTTCAGCTTAAAATGTCTGTCTATTTTGAGAGACATATTCCTATAAAAAAACCTGAAAGATCTGATGAAAACGGAGGCTTTCTAAAACGGTTTCAAAAGTGGAACCTTTTTAAAAAGCATAGTTTTGAAAACGCCCCATTTCTTGTGTGGATAGGTGAAAACGGAGGCTTTTGAAAACGGTGACGAAAAAAGCGTGAAACATTATCGTTTCAATCAGCGTTTTCGAACATTTTAGTGTGAATAATAGGCAAAAACGTGTCAAAAAGTATGTGTTTTTGAATGAAAACGAACCATTGTGGACAGGTGAAAACAAAACAAAAAGGCTAGCGTGGTAGAAAATATTTTGCTTTGTTTTCGTTGAGACGAAAATGGATACTTTTAAAAATGCATCAATTAGCGTGGTCGGAACCTTAATACATGTAGTGAGTCGTCGGATGCGTGATGAAAGTTCGTTATCTTAAAACAATAATACTTTGTACAACCCCAACATCAAAGCAATGGCTTGTTAAACCACGAAAGCATTTCTCTTATTAGTCGTACAATAAGTGGCAAAATAGTTTTTTTCAGTAGCTAAAATTCCATCAAGACAAACGCATTTCGAGAAATGCCATGAAAAAGCAAACTAGATTACGTAACGTCT